CGACTCACGCACATCCTGGTTTGAATTTCACTCCACAATGTACCGCGGCACGGACTCAATTCCCAGTTCCTCATCTCTCGCAACCTTCTCCTGCATGCCCGTGACGACCCAGGGATTTTGAGAGTGGCCTCTGGACAAACGTAGGGTACGGAATTGGGGGTCAAGAGATATGTGGTGCAGTAGTCAGAGGTTCGGTGGTCAAAATCATTTGCTCTAGATTTGAAGCTTTCGTGACTGCAAGGATTCATACTCTTAGTTCTTTCGGTAAAGTCACGTAGGTAAAAAATGAAATTAAAATTAATAAAAATAAATTTTAATTTCATTTTCATTTGCGTCACCCTGCCAACGTGTCACCCCCGTGAGAGTGCCACACACTCCCATGGCTATCAACATAAGGAAGCTTCAACTTATCATAAAGGTAAAGCTAAAGGCGCAGCCCCGCAGTTCCTTAGGACAATGACGGGAGCTCTAGATAAACCCCCCGAGAGAGTGTTTTTTTCCCCTAACCCAGCTTAAATATACGCTGCCAAGCTTGGTGGTGTTCATTCAGACGCTGTCGTTCCGACAGACCTGTTCTTCACCTGAGGACGGCTGCTTGCGTTGTGGCCGAAACGTCGTGAGAATTGTATTTTATTATGTTTTATTTTTATTATTTTATTATTTCCCTTCTACGTGACTTTACCGAAAGAACCAAGAAGAGTGTTTTTGACTAGTCCTCCACGCTGGCTGGATGTCTGAGAAGAGGTTGGAGTTACCCACACTTTACGCCGCTACGTGTTACCTGCCGATCGACTCACTGATTACCCACGTATACTGCTGGACGGACAGAGGCGGAGAGATTCAGGAAACTTGTCCAGCTGAACCGGATTGCCTGTCCGGTGTGCTAACCTTACGCCATAGCAGGAGCTTTTAATAAAATACGCCTACAATTATGACGTGCGAGTCGGATGAACACAGCAATTCGAAGCTGCGCCTTTTTAAATCCTTTATATTAAGTTCACTTGCTTGCTTGCTTGCGCGCTTACGACCGTGCAAATCTTTCAGTCGTTTTTTAACCCACTTCCCGTGATCCAATCGAGCTGACATTTTGCACACAGACTCGTTGTGCGTGACAATTTATTTTCGTGAAAAATTTTTTCCTAAATTTTCAACATTTTAGGAAAAAATAAATTATATTTAATTACCAATTGCTTAATGGTGGCAGGCAATCATCCGACCCATAGGTGGCAGCCATCTCAAGCCAGAGGACGAGAGGACTCTAGCCGCCACGCATATAAAGGATTTATAGTGAAAAACTTTGTTTTTACAGGTTAAATTTTTTTCTCATCCACAGTCGTGCTCTCAATGCTCATGGCCCCTTCAAATTCTACCCTGCAGCTCATCTCAGGCTTCTCAAGCCAATGAATTCAGACATCTTTCACCCAATGCTGTGAGGCTCTTGTGTTTGGTATCACGTGCAGGATTACCAGTTCAAGGAAACATGTCCCCCATTTGACCTTTTGGGTCAAGCAAACAAAATACATTGTGCGACCGTGGAAACCCCCCCCCCACACACAATTATCTGGATAACACACAACAAAACCACGGCCAAAGATACCCCATATAGACATAACAGACTGTCAGGGAAAGTGCTGTTAGCGAGCACTAATGAAGGCCGGCATGGCACACGAGGAAGTGGTTGGTTAACACCGCGCCCGGCTGCCGTTGTCTCCCTCGTGGCTGTGTTTACAAATCGCAATAGGTACTCATTCAATGCCGAGTTGACCTTAGGGAGGCCCAAGACTGGTTCATATAATCATTACTGGTATTGGCCGTGAGCGGGGAATCGAACTCGGGTCGCCGGTCAGCGCAGTGCGCTAGCCGTTACACACAAGTTACTAGACAACACCACCTAGTGTAGCAGACAGATGGGATGTTTGTACCACTCACAGCATGAGCATAACCATCACTTGGGCACCATGAGGCATCCAATCCCTAGCAATCCAAGATTCTCCAGCGCGGAGAGTTAATATCATACAACGGTGCATACAGGACATGATGCAAAGGTCATCAGGGTTTTCTAAACGTATGTAATTATTCTAAAGCCCGTCTGGCCAGACTTTAGTATGATTCCGTCTACAGATTGAAAAGCCTCTAGCTCTAGTGCATCCCGGCAAAAATTCTGTGTTTCAATACAAACTGAAATACACAAAGGTTTTAAAGGTGGTTTCCGTGTTAATTCACACCGAGTTGACGGATGTTTGTATTCCCCCTCCATCGCCACTCGGGTGTTTTACACAAAAAATTGGGGAAGATCCTGCCCACCCATGGCTGTGAAGACTGGGTGTGGGAGTGAGGCTGTCGTCTTGACCAGATGACGAAATCATTTTGTGTTATCAGAACATTCTGTTTTCCTGACACACTGCCAATGGCTGTTGCAAGCAAAGAACATGACACAATAATAAATGGTGCTCTCCTAGATGTAAAAAAAACTGGTTCCGCACTCCTTTCGGGGATAGAAGTCGCCATTCGTCAACTTACGTACAAGGCAGACGGCCTGCACGGCAAAATAATGTTTTAAAACGTCACATTGAGCACTCACAACACATTAGTGGCAAATGGAACACACATGGCCACTTGTTTTGAGGCAAAACTGCTTCGAGGTCATAGGCACCTGCTTCCTTGTCCACACGAGTGGGAGGAGGGAAATAAAATTGTTGTAAATGTTGGCTTGGGGCTGGGATTGAACTTGCGTCATTGGTTTGGGTTGCTTATCGTGGTCACCGCCCCCCCCCCCCCCCCCCCAGTACGCCTGCAGGGGTGGGCGTTGGAAAATAAAAACACACGCGGGGCAAAATGGCAGCCGGCAACACTGGTCACATTGTGCTTTTGGAATGGTTTGATTGAAATGCAGCACACCGCACCTTACGTGTGGTATTCAGACGGACCAAGCAGGTGTTAATGGGTTTATATTGGGTAATTTTAGGAGGACAGAGCAATCTGAAAAACCACGATTGGTCATTCTGTGTCAACCGGCCAAGTGCTAAAGAAGTCCCACAACCTGACCATCTGAGATGTTCTTGAAAAAACGATTCCAGAGATGCAGAGGAAATATGAATGGAACGAAAATTGTCCCTGAAGGAAATGTTTGGCTCAAATGTTCATGAGCCATGGTCAATCCACTGCTGGACGAAGGCCTCCCCAACCCACCGGCCATCCATCCCTCGTGGTCTTGCGATGTTACATTTCCTGAGATATGGCCCTTAAAATGTTGACCCGTAACCTCCAAAATACAAATGGCGACGAAAGTAGCGGTTTTAACATCACAGTTTAAGTGCTTTATAATCAAGATATTCTGAAATGTTACGGTGTAATTGAGGAACACATTTTTGGAGATTTGACAGTAATTCATGTATAAAAGATAAGTCTGGAAATATGTGAAATCGTTAAGGTATAGTAGGTGCATTTCTGTTCTCTCCCTGTGGTACATTTTTAGCGCATTTATTTTGGAAATTATGAGGTAGCTGTAAGACAACATATTTTTAGAAATCTATTTAACATGGGAAAAAGTGTAACTTTTATTATGCTTTTCAAATTGCAAACAATATACAGCAATTTGGCAACATTGAATAATAATTTTCTTATAAATGTGTACAGTAATATAATTTATAAACATGACAGATTTGTTTTATGATACAATTAGTCAGTATGCAAATTTTCAAGGCTCTGGCTTAAAAAATTCTATTTTAAAAATTGCAAATTTAATCTCAAGCGGTGTTTATCCAGGTCAAAGGTTCACATTTGTCAAGGGCCATATCTGGCCCAAAATGTTTCGCGAGGAACTGTCATTTTGGTTTTGTGTTCAAATTTCACAAGAACGTATCTCAGATGTTCTTGAAAAAAAAAATGACAACCAGAATTTATGAGGTGTGGACCGTCCTCTAGTCCAGTTGAAATGGAATGACCCCTTCCCCAATTTAAGTAATTTCCTTAAAACACTCCAACAATCGGTGGCATTTTCCATGATGATCAGCCCATGATTGTGGCTGCTGTGGTTGAGTGGCGGAGTACTGGAAGGTACCATTTTTATAGGGGGTGTTTGCAGTGCCGTTTTTTTCTGAATTGAACTCCTACCCATGTTATTATGGACTGGCAAATTAAAAGCAAGCACCATTACCAATCGTGGCCAAATTGTCAGCATTCACAATCCACATACAATCGGCAATATTGGAAAGACACCACGGTGTTGCATAACCACCCCCAATCACAAACACCGGAGCCTGGGTGGTGTGAGCGGATTATAAACACCTTCCCTCATGCGAAGGACGAGGAAAAGTACAAGAGAAAAAAAAAACTAACCACGCAAATGCTTGCGCGATAGCTGAATTCCCAGTAAATTCCCAGGGACAAATCCACTTTCTCTACAAAAACATGCCTACCATATAATGTCACGTGGCTTTTTTTTTTTATTGGGGCAGTCTCCTATACATAGCTTTGCCTCTGTGCTTGTGAAGTGTTATGCATTTAAACAATGTTTGTTTATCTTCTTGGTTCTTTCGGTAAAGTCACGTAGAAGGGAAATAATAAAATAATAAAAATACAACATAATAAAATAATTCTCACGACGTTTCGGCCACAACGCAAGCAGCCGTGCGTTGTGGCCGAAACGTCGTGAGAATGATTTAATGTTTTATTTGTATTATTTTATTATTTCCCTTCTACGTGACTTTACCGAAAGAACCAAGAAGATGAATCCCTGCAGTCACGAAAGCTTTAAATCGAAATTTAATGTTTGTAAAACATAATAAAATAATTATCACGACGTTTCGGCCACAACGCAAGCAGCCGTGCGTTGTGGCCGAAACGTCGTGAGAATGATTTTATTATGTTTCATTTTTATTATTTTATTACTTCCCTTCTACGTGACTTTACCGAAAGAACCAAGAAGATGAATCGCTGCAGTCACGAAAGCTTTAAATCGAAATTTAATGCTTGTTTATGTCTCTTTCTCTGACTTGCAGGGCCCAGAGGGCCCAAGATGGCCTGGCAAGGACCGACCCGGCCCTGGAGGGGTGGTGGGCGGGCTCGGGGGGGCGGCCGGGGCCACAGGGGCGGCCGGGGCAGGGGGTGGGGGCCACCCACATCGTCCCCCATTGCATCCGACGCGAGCGGTACGTACACCACGGAGGGCAAGGGTGGCCGCCTCTAGAGGTACAAACAAACAAAAAATGGGACATCGCGGGGAGAAGAATTGATAACGATACCAGAGGAGGGAGTGAGAACGACGTGTAAATGTGTTGTCTTGAGCAGTGTATTATTTCAAAACGGACAAAAACAGGTGACTGTTAATGTGTGTACGAATGTTGAACTTCTTTCGCACCGTACGTAGCCAACCGCACTGATCGGAGGTGCGGGGGAAGGACAAAAAACGTAATGTCCCAGGAAGACATTACAGATTTCCCAGGACAGCGACTATCTCAACATGAGGTCGATCATGGGAAAAGCCAGACAGGTGGCACTGGAGGGGCCCCGATGACAATGGCAGATGTAGGGAGTCATTGCAAACGATGAGCAGGAGGAGGGAGGGAGAGAGGAGAGAGTAGGCGGCTCTGACTGATTGCTAAGCTGATCTTTTTTTAGGATTTATTCTCCCCATTCCTCTATTTTTATATCAGCAAGTACTGTTTTATGTCAATATGGGAAGAAAAAAAAACAGAACAGTAATGTTAGAGCCAGCTGCGTATGTAAAAAAAAAATGCCAGAGGAGACCATAGCACAGTTGCCGTGCTTCTGTTTTCTTATCCCTCTTTACATTTCCCAGATAAGTCGTCCGCGTGGCCCTCCCAGTGCTCCCTGTGGGGAGAGGACCAAACGAACGTGGGGCTGGAGCGCGGCTGCCCGGAGAAGCCCTTCGTGATGCAGCCGCCAGCACAGAGGAGATGGTGGCCCGGGGAGAGCGCGAAGACCCGACCGCTCGCGACCACCGACGAGTGGCCGTGCCTCTCCCGCAACAACACGTGCCCCGACCACACACGGAGGCGGCGCGGGGACGGGCCAGGTCGCTACAACGGCAGCGGCAGCAGAAGCAGCCGGGAAGACAGGGATCTGTCGCTCGAGACCCTCGGCAGAGGGACATCCGGGAAGGCCCCACAGAGAGGCCCCAGGTGGCAGGATGACGGCGATGGCGGCGGTGGCGGCGGCGGCGGCGGCGGGAGAACGTGGGGGGGGTCCCCGCGCGACATCAACGACAGGGGGCCCAGGACTTTCCAGGAGCGGGCGATGGGCACGCGGGCCCTGTGGGACCTCCTGGAGAAGGACCAGTCGGAGATCGTGATGCGCCTGGCGTCTCCGATCTGCGGGCTGCGTCCGCTCCTCCAGAAGATGGAGATGCAGAGGGACGTGCTGGTGCTGCTCGTGCAGGTGCTGGCCAAGGCATGCGCCTGCCAGGGCAACCGCAAGAGCCTGCAGCACATGCTGTCCACCGTCAAAGAGTCGCCCTTCTTCCGCAGGGTGCTGCCATTCTTCGTGGTGCAAATGAAACTCGAGAACGCTCCTGAGAAGCTGGGCAAGCTCTCGGCGCAGATCGCGGACATCCTGGTGCTCCTCTCCACCATCATCGGCACGTTCCCGGCGAGCGCGATCGCGGACGTGTCCCTGCTGCTGAGCGCCGTGGAGGGCAGCGTCAACTACCTGAAGCTCTGCGGCGTCGCCCTCGACGCCAAAGCCGAGAAGGCCTACGAGGAGCTGAAGAAGCTCACGGACTTCCTGCTCAACAAGAAGCGCGAGGGCAACCTGCGGTCGGATGCCGCGGCGCTCAGGGGCGACCCGTCGTCGCGCCCGCCGGAGGACTTCCACACGCTGTCCATCTACCCGACGTACGCCGACATTCACGAGAAGGCCGAGCCGTTCATCCGCGCCAACGTTGTCCGCGGCGGCTACCCGGACGTGGCCACGTACCTCGACACGCAGTTCCGGCTTCTGCGCGAGGACTTCCTGAGGCCCCTGCGCGAGGGCATCGCGGAGCTGCTGAGCGTCGCGGGGCGTGAGCAGCAGCAGCAGCAGCAGCGGCGGCGTCGCTACGACGACATCCGCGTGTACCACGACGTGCGGCTCGTGTCGCCGTCCTGCTCCTCGGTGGGCATCATCCACAACGTGAGCTTCGACGTGCGCCCGCTGCGCTCCGTGCGCTGGGACAACTCCAAGAGGCTGCTGTTCGGCTCGCTCGTGTGCCTCTCGCGCGACAACTTCGACAGCATGCTGTTCGCGTCGGTGGCCAACCGCGGCTGCGAGGACCTCCGCCAGGGCCTCGTGAGCCTCTGCTTCAGCAAGGAGAGCCGGCGGGAGCTGCCCGACGTCAAGCCGTCGGACGTCTTCCTCATGGTGGAGACGACGGCGTACTTCGAGGCGTACCGCCACGTGCTGGAGGGCCTGCAGGAGGCCGAGGAGGTCGACTTCCCGTTCCGACGCTACATCGTCGAGTGCCAGAAGGACGTGGAGCCGCCCGACTACCTGGCCACTCTGCCCAGGTGAGGGCGAGGCCTTGGCACGCGGCCACAGTGTGGAACATTCCTCGACACTCGCCAGTTGATCCTCGCCACTTTCTCAGCAGCGTTCAGACGCCTTCTTGTCGCTCCTTCATGGCCGCTAGCAGAGTCGTTGTCGTCGTGAACTTTACACCTCGACCTTGATAGCAGCGCCAATTTAAAGCACGCAACGTATTGATTCTCTCGCACTGGTCGACATTGGAGCTCCCTCCTGTCATTCTTTTTCCCCCCAAGTTGCTCAGTTAAAGAAATACATTTTACCTGCAATATAACCGCAGGGGTGGAGGGGTCGTGCGGCGGTCAGTGCAAATTGCATGTTCCCAGTGACCTGAGTTTGACCATGGCTAACCTCATCGGCGAGCGATATCCGAGCCGGTTCACCAGCCTGCACTGACGAGCATGGTGAAGTATGGTCAAACGCCCACCACAAACAACACGGTATGGAAGAGGCCTTATTCAGCAGTGACTTAACAAAGGGTTATAAATTAATATTACAGGTAGGAACAACAGTTCCACACTGCCCACCAGGGATTATTTGTCTGTCTGTCGTGCATAGCCAAGCCCTCGATTTGTATTTCATAGAGTGCTTCGGGGCGGGCTCAGCCACACGTGACGCGCCGCCCCACGCAGCTTGCGCCGCGTCACACGGATCATACGAATGCGCTGTCCAACCAAGTTCCTACCTGCCCGCACCGAAGGAATGTGTTTAAATGACATTAATGCTCGTGCTTCCTGCTGCTAACTGCTCTATGTAATTGGTCTTTGGGCCTGAGCTCAGCAACTATGATTTATTTTAAAAAATAGAGTTCAAGGAAATGACATCGAACCAATTGGCCAATGTGACCTGATGTCAGACTCATGTCGCCCGGTTGGCTTTGTCAGTTTCAGCTTCACGAGTCTCATCAAAAGTTGTCGTCTGTTGAATCTTGAAGACGACCGCTTGTGTTGCGATCGAAGAGTCATAGTTTTCTGTTATTTTTTGTTATTTTTTTTGAACCTATCTACGTGACTTTACCGAAAGACCCAAGAATAATTGTAGTCTGTTGATCGAATGCCACTGGCTGTCCTGATATTATAGACAGGGGCAAAATACCCAGAACCAATAAACAAACCGCTTAAATCATCACCAGCCAGCCCACAGACTAAAAAGTCATGCACGCAGTTGCACAGTACCCTCACAACCGACTCTCGCACACCACCGTTAGCCAATCTCACATCGTGCTCAGGTGCACACCTGGACTGGCCACACTTCGCCAAACCCTCAATACTTCGCTGCCGCTGCTGCTGCTGCATCGGGATCGTAAAGGTAAAGGTGCAGCCCTGCAACTATTTGCTCATGCCATTGCTGGCAGAAGGGCCTTCACTAACGGGAGCTGAAGAGAGCCCCTCTCGATAGGGTATTTGGCCTATTCTTCCATGATGGCCAGAATCTTGGAAGATGTATGCGTATCCACACATTAGCCTTCCACATGTGACCTGCCAATAGGCTGTGACGTACACCCATCTTTATCACTGGATGGACAGAGGTGCGGGGGATTTTTAGAAAGTTGCCGCATTATTTTAATTACCATGCCAGGAAATCAAACTCGCGACCTCTGGATTGCAATTCCAGTGTCGAAACCATTACACCATTGATTGACCGATACGCGCCCGTATGTGCGATGCATAAAACATTCATTATTGGTGTTGGCAACACTCCCAAATATAGGACCACAGAACTTGGGCAATTTTGTCTTCGGTTCTGGCTGCCTGTGCTACCCCTTGCCTCAAAGTCATTTCGTCTTTGAAAGGGAAAGGAAACTGTGGGCATTACACATTTCAAAATAAAAATTAGAAAGTAGGTGAATACCATAACACTGGGTTGACACGTGGGGCATGCTGGGAAGTTGGGGTCCGGCTGCCACACAGTGCACGAGCGAATGGCGATGTTCACACATTTGCCGAGCCCATTGCGCTCACCATTACACCACGACAGTAGGAACGTGTGAAGTCCCGTTGGCGATGGCTTTGGTTAACGGCGGTTCCCACGATCCTCAGACCAAAGTACGACTTCAGCCCCGCGCTGCACACGGAGCTGCCGGACGACTCGTACCTGCACCTGCTCGAGCCGCGCCCGATGGTGGACGTGGTGGACGCCCGGCAGTGGCCCAGCGCCGACGACCTCCGGCTCGACGAGTCGCAGGCGGAGGCTCTGAGGCTGGCGCTCAGCCGGGAGCTCGCCATCATTCAGGGCCCGCCCGGCACCGGTACTCGCTCGTCTCTCTCTCCGTCGCTCCTCCTTGTGCCGGCATTTCCTTTTCGATCCTTTTCTCTCCTTGCACCCCCTCCACCTGGATATTAAGAAGTAGATTTGAAGCTTTCGTGACTGCAAGGATTCATATTCTTAGGTTTTTTCGGTAAAGTCACGTAGGTAAAAAATTAAAATTAATAAAAGTAAAAGTTTACCTACGTGACTTTACCGAAAAAACCTAAGAATATATTAAGAAGTCCCCGTCTCCTTAGCCTCCTTCCGATCCTCTCTCAAAGTCCACCTTTTCTCCATTGCCCATTCTTCTCTTCCCCTCCCCTCCCCTGCCCTTTTGTGACCCCATAATGCCCTCTGTTATGGTCACTCATTCCTCGACCCTTGCACACCCCTGGCGTCTAGATCACTGTGTTTTTGCGAGTGCTTTTTAAACCGTGTAACGTGCATTGAGCTAAGGTGCTCTTCAAATATAAAATAAGATAGGGACGAGCAAACTGTTGGGGGCAGGTGCTGTTAGTGAGCAACACTATGAAGACCAACACGTCACACAGAGGTGATGTGGCTAGTGGCACACCCGACCACCTTTGTCTTCCCAGTGTCGACATCTACGCACCACACCAGGTACTCAATTAACGATGAGTTGACCTTGGGCGGACCCAGGAATGGTCCAGATATTTGTCACTGATGTTGGCCATCAGCGGGAAGAGAACTCAAATCACCGCGCTCAAGGCGTGTCACGCTAACGACTACATTACTCCTCTCAAATAAGTGGGCACACAAACAAAGACAAAAGATCCGTATAGCCTTTAAGAGACTGGAGGAGCAAGTGCTGTTAACGAGCACCTATGAAGATCGGCACGGCGCACGAGGGGGTGGATGGCCAGAACCACGCCCGACCGCCTTCGTCTCCCTAGTGGCGATGTTTACACACCGCACCAGGTACTCATTTGAGGCCGAGTCGACCTAGGGGAGGCTCAGGACCAGTTCAGATGATCGTCACTGTTGGTGGCCGTGAGCGGGAATCGAACCCGGGTCGCCGGGTTTATAGCGCAGCGTGCCAATCGCTACACAACCGCTCCCCACACGTACACACACACACTAGGGTTGCCACCTCTGCGGGCCCGTGCCGAACACGCTGCGCGCTACTTGACCCGAGCCGTGTCTGAAGGCCGATCTCGCCCAACACCAGAGAGCGCCTCTCCATCGTAGTGCCGCCCCCCGCCAAAGCCCTTCCCGACTCTCTGCAGGTAAAACGTACGTGGGGTTGAAGATTGCTCAGCTGCTGCTCCACAACGCACCCGTGTGGCAGAAGGGCCAGCCCAGCCCCGTCCTCGTGGTGTGCTACACGAACCACGCCCTCGACCAGTTCCTGGAAGGTACGCGCCGGTGGACGGAGGAAAGCGCTCGCCCGTGTGGCTTCGTGCGCGTGTGTGTGAAGCTTGAGACCAGGTGCGAAGAGCCTGTTGACGGAAGTTCGTGCGATGCTTGAGGGAGACTGAAATAATGAATACATTGCAACAGCGCAAAGCTTCTCGTGCAATTCATTTATTAAACGTCACGAACGTAATTTTGCAACTTCGTTTGGTTACGACGACTGCGAAGTGACTTTGTGACCAACTGTTGCTCGAGTTTCCCCCTCCACCTCTCTTCCCTATCTCCGTAAACCATGAAGACGAACGGTGAATTGGGAGTGACGATGTACCACGCCGGTAAATATTACCAGCGTGTACAGATGTAACACTCACAGGCTGCGACTCTGAACGAACCGCTTGCCGTAGCTTAGGCGGCCCGTTGCAGCAGCAACAAGCGGCTACTGTACAGCAGCATGCACGCACGCAGGGCAATAACACCAGCAGCAGCAGAAATCTGTTTTGTGAAGTCCTGTCTGTCATCACCTCCGATTAGGAAGGTTGGCTACGTACAGGTGCAAAAGAAGTTCAACACACACATACACACATACACACATCACAACCACTCGAGACGCAACGTTTGGCACGAGCGAGCGGTCGTAATCGGGCTCCCTCCGCGCTGTCGGGTTTTCCCTGCAGGCATCGCGCGCTTCGAGAAGGACCTCGTCCGCGTGGGCGGCCGCAGCGCCAGCGACGTGATGAAGAAGTTCTCGCTCAAGGAGCTGCGCAACTCGGCCGACTTCCGCCGGAAAATACCCCCGCACCTGCGCACCACCTTCTCCGCGGTACGCGTGACAGCACGGCGGTGATGCGGCCACGCGGGGCAACCGCGCGGCCTGTGTCGGAGACGACGGTGGTGGGCTTAGTGGCGACTCATCGTTCAGAGCTGGAGTGGGGGGTGGGGGGGGGCCAGATCCTACTCGTGAGATGAGCAAAAATAAAACCTTAAGCAATACTTACCAGCTCATTGTCAAGATTGTTAACTGCACCACCCTTTCCACGTCTCTCCCCACCGCTCCCCGATGGTGGTGGTGGTGCTAATGATAGCAGTGTGGTGATAATGCCTGGTGGTGGTGGCGGTGTGTAAACATCGCCACTGGGGAGACAAATTTGGTCAGGCGTGGTGCTGGCCAACCACCTCCTCGTGTGCTGTGCCGGCCTTCATAGTCGCTCACCAACAGCGCTTGCCCCAACAGTCTGTTAAGGCCACACGGATGATCGTTGTCTTTAGTGGTGGTGGTGGTCGCAATATCATTAGCGGCGGTGATGACGCCCGGCCTTTGACGCCGGTCACAGGGAGCGGGCCGTCGAGGGCTGCGACGGCGCTGACGCTCACCTCGCGCGCTGTTGCAGATCTCCCAGGACATGCGGCGCCTGCGGCAGCGGATCGAACAGGAGGCGGCTCACCTGCGCGCGGCGCAGCAAGGCGTGCTGCGCGAGCGCGTCCTGCAGCCCTGCATCGCCAGCGACCACCTCGCGCAGCTCATGGCGCGCCCGGTACGCTGCTCGGGTGGGGGGTGGGGGGTGATGCTTGCAGCGTCAGAGTACGGCTCAGTCTTACCTTGTTTTATATTCATAGATCGAACTCGCGGTGGCTCGAGGCGCTTTGCGTAGTTTTACAAAAAGCGGTAACGAAAGAAGAGTGATTTAGATGCGGTGTAGGGGCCGAGGAACGAGTGACCGAAACAGAGGGGGTCACGTGGGGGTCAAGGAAGGGCTCTCAGGGGAGGGGAGGGATGAGGGGATGGAAGAGCAATGAGATTGGGCAATGGAGACGAGGTGAGCTTTCATCAGAATCTTTGTTTAGATCTGCATATGAAGCTCTTTTTTTCACAGGTGTCCAGTAGAGAAGAACGAAAGGAGGTTCAGGAGGGGGGGGGGGGGGGGGAGGGACTGCTCCATGTAGCGGGGAGGTTGATCCCAGTGGAGGACTGCAAGGAGGACCGAAGACGGGATTGGGACACAGCGAGAAGGAGGGACGGAGAGAGAGAGAGAGACAGAGAGAGACGAGATTGGGGTCATACGAGAGAGCGGCGAGATGAGGTGGGGGCATCTTGAGACGCTCGGCAAAGACTCGAGAGCCACGCCAGCCCGGGGCAGGTGCCGCTCTCTCCGAGCCAGGCGGCCGGGGTGCTGCTGCTGCTCTCTGGTTTTTCCCTCCACTTTTATAATCAACGTCACGCGTGTCGGAGTGTTTGGCTCCCGCTTTACATTTCCACGTGGTGAGCCACTTCGCTGAGCTATCGTTTGTGGGGTGGCCAGGTCGCTTCTGAAAAAATGCTGGAAAGCTCGGTGGGCCTTACCTGCTAAAGTAAATAAAAATTAACCCTTTATATGCGTGGCAGCTAGAGTCCTCTCGTCCTCTGGCTTGAGATGGCTGCCACCTATGGGTCAGATGATTGCCTGCCACCATTAAGCAATTGGTAATTAAATATTTTAAAAAAATTCCTAAAAAGTGTACAATTTTGGAAAAAAAAATTTCACGAAAATAAATTGTCACGCACAACGAGTCTGTGTGCAAAATGTCAGCTCGATTGGATCACGGGAAGTGGGTTAAAAAACGACCGAAAGATTTGCACGGTCTTAAGCGCGCAAGCAAGCAAGCAAGTGAACTTAATATAAAGAATTTAAAAACAGTTTAGTTTGGTAAGATAAAAACGAGTTTAGTTTTACGGGTGACCGTCAGAGCCAGGCCGGCCCGGGAGGCGGTGGGGCAGGGGGGCCGCTCGCCGGCGGTGTCAGCGGCCGCGGCGGCGAGTGACGGCGCTTTGCGGTGTGGCCTGCGCAGCAGGAGAAGGCCGGTGGTCGGCGTGCGCCAGGGCGCCAGTCGTCGCGCATCCTCGAGTGGCTGGGCATCGGCGGCTCCGTGGCGGAGGCGGCGCTGTCCGTGGAGACGTTGCTGGAGGAAGCGGACGACGTCATCGAGGAGACCTCCACCGACCCGTCGGGTAAAACTCTTTGATTACGACCTTTTTTTTAATCTAAATCGGAGCCACTATTTCGACAGGCTGAGTTAAATATATTTTTTTATGATAGCATGCACGATTTTTTTTTAAACCACTCTCGAAGAGACGGAGGAACCACAGAAAGCAGCCACGCGGCGAGCAGGCGCAAACAACTTGCCCAAGATCTGCGGTCCTCGATATATGAAGGTGTCATCGGCCAATCCGTGTTTACACGTGTGGGAGGACACCGCAGTGTTTTTTGCTGCTCTTTATTCTCCCGGCGAGCCAGGGTATGGCACCCCGACACCCACGGGAAGGGAGTTTCACGACCTTTGAACGATCCACAAAGGGTCGCTGCCTCCGCAGTGCGAGATTACGGGTGTGCATAGCCACCACCTAAGAACTCAAATTTAATGTTTAGTTTTTTTTCGTGTCGTCAACGGTGACTGGGATAGGATCTGGGATCTCGCGAGACTGGAGGACCCAGTTTAACCACAGGTGGCTGCCCAGATTTAGAACCCACGATCTCAGTGGTACCAGCTCAGTGCTCCGATCCCCAATTCACCCGGCCACCTCTCATCCGACTACCGCGTAAGTTTCGCTCCGCGTTGCTGAGAAATCTCCGAGAGCGTGGCGCGAAACGTCGGACATCATGCCAAACAATACACAGTGAAAGCGGAAAACACATCCGAGAGCTGAACCTCTCATTCTCTTTCCTAAACATTCACACCTGAACTGCTGCTTTATTTTTTAGTTTCATGCCACCATGTGATGTTTGTTTTTTGTCTTTCCCCTCCAATCAGACGATGAAGGCGAGTGGATGGGCAGCGGTCACCTACTCGCCAGCGAAAAGCAAGGAGCGGCAGCGGCAGCGGCAACGGCAACGGCGGCGGCGGCGGCTGTGGCAGCGGCGAAGGGCGATAAACACGGCCGTGGCGGCACCAGAAGGGAGCGGCCGCCTCCCACGGAGCACAGGGAGCGGCCGCACGAGAGGGGCGACCGGCCACCCGGGAGGAGCGACGAGCGCAGGAGGGAAGCCGTCGCCACCGAAGACGGCGTCGGCGTGAGCGACGGCAGTGACGAGGGCGACCTGATCCGCGTGTCGGGCGAGGCGGAGCTCATCCAGGACTCGCGGTTGATGGAGGACGACATGGAGGCGGCCAGGGGACGCGGGATCGACGGCGAGGCCCAGTGGCTCGCTCAGCTGCAGCGGAACATCATGGCCATGTCCCTGCAGGACGACGAGCAGGGGGCGCAGGGGACGCCGGCGGAGCAGAAGCACAGGGCCCGGGACGGTGGCGGGTGGCAGGTAAGGCGCAGGTCGAACGCGCGTTTCGTGTTCGTGCCGCTACGATGTCATGCAGCCCGAATCCTGGCGTCGCTTGCCGCCGGCGTCGTTGCGTCTCTCCGCTGACGTGCACGGGGGGGGGGTCGGGGGGGTGCGTGCGCAGGTGGTGTGCAACCCCAAGCGCCAGCGGCACGCGGCGCGGAGGGAGCTGCGGAAGACGAGCTGCATGACGCAGGAGGAGGAGGCCAACGTGCACGACATCTGGGCCCTGACGCTGCCGCAGCGCTGGCAGCTCTACAGGTTCGCCCCAAGTTTGCAGTCGATACCACGTTGGGAAGTGGGTTAAAATTGAGTTACAAGATTTGAGGATACAACAACGACAACAACAACGACAACAACAACAGACAGAGTGATTTCAAAGAAAGCGTGTAAAATTGGAATCATCGAGAGTATTCTATATGAACGAAGCATTCTTCCTAGCATTTACCTTTATAAACCTTGTTCATGTGTAGTAGTGCCCCAGTAATTACCCTGTAATCGGGCAATGTGTATGGGGTAAGGGTAGGCTTGTTGCTTTTTACCTTTTACCTTACCTGCTAAAGGGTAAAAGGTAGGGTAGAGTGATTGTATTGTGGTAAGGTTAAAGGCAAGGTAAAGGTAGGCTTGTTTTTTTTTACACTTTAACTTTTACCTTACCTTGTCGAGGCCTAAGACGGACATTGTATTTCTCGGGCATAACAATAGAGAAACATGCCAACGTTGGGCCAACGTTGGCATGCAGTGAGAACCGTTGGACCGATGGCGGTCCAACGATGACAAGAACCTTCCACGTAGTCTGGGTCATTGGTGCCCTTCGCAATTTCATCGATGGGAACATGAATGCGATTACATCACAACATTGGGGTGACGCGGCCAAGCAGTGGGTGGCGTGTATTGCCGCTCGTTGCAGATATTTGCTGCCCGAGACCCCAGGAGGTCATGGGTTCGATCCCGAGCCTGGCGCCCATATAATTGGAGTTGGCGTGTTCTCCCTGTGGTCGCGTGGATTTTTCTCCGGTTTTTCCCACCACGTTTTGAATCGACGTGCGTTTAGAGTGTTTGGCTGCTACACGTTTCCACGTGATAAGCGACTTCGTCGAGCTATCATTTGATGCCAGGTCGCTTCCGAAAAAAAGTTACGTAGCTCAGTGGGCTTTACCTGGTCAAATAAAAAGTTTATTGAATTCTGAGCGTGTATTAACCTTAAAATGACACACCGTCTCCAACACATTGGACGTTAAAGATCCCGTGTCGCTTTCCGACAAAGAGGAGATCACGTGTACCGGCGTCATGGTCCAAATTTGCGTACATTTTTTAATTACTCACAAACTACTTAATCGGGAAAAGGCAAAGCAATCATTACCCGCCCCCGCCACCCGGCACGACACTTAGCAGGACCCCTCCCCCCCCCCCCCTGCTAAAAAAACAGGAGCGTCGAGACTTACCGAGGCTTTCCCAGGTTCACAGACGTCATTGATCGTCGCCAAAACTCCGTCGGCCCAAAACGCTCCGCCCCCCGCCCCCCTTTCCCACTGCGGCGAGCAGGCGCTGGGTGCAAAAGTACCAGGCGGAGATCCGCTGGCAGATCCAGACCCACGAGAGCGAGTACCAGACGGGCGCCGAGAGGCTCGCGGACGTGCGGGAGGAGGAGGAGCTCGCCATCCTGCGGCAGGCCCGCGTCATCGGCATGACCACCACCGGTACGCGCCCCCCCCCCCCCTGCACCCTGAAGCGACGACAACCCGACGTGAAGGCGCAGCGCTGCCGATTTCATCAACGGCGGATTTTTGTTCGAACGCTCGGGTAGTTGTTTTGTGCGCAAAGTCTTTTGTTCTTTCAAAGATAATGTACTGATCAATGGAGCTGGACAGGCTTTGATGAGTCTGTGTGTGCCAGTGGGATTATGTGTGGAGTGGTAGTGCAGTGGGATTATGTGTGGAGTGGTAGTGCAGTGGGATTATGTGTTGAGTCTGTGTGTGCAGTGGGATTATGTGTGGAGTGGTAGTGCAGTGGGATTATGTGTGGAGTGGTAGTGCAGTGGGATTGTGTGGAGTGGTAGTGCAGTGGGATTATGTGTGGAGTGGTAGTGCAGTGGGATTGTGTGGAGTGGTAGTGCAGTGGGATTATGTGTGGAGTGGTAGTGCAGTGGGGTTATGTGTGGAGTGGTAGTGCAGTGGGATTATGTGTGGAGTCTGTGTGTGCAGTGGGATTATGTGTGGAGTGGTAGTGCAGTGGGGTTATGTGTGGAGTGGTAGTGCAGTGGGATGATGTGTGGAGTGGTATTGCAGTGGGATTATGTGTGGAGTGGTAGTGCAGTGGGATCATGTGTGGAGTGGTAGTGCAGTGGGATTATGTGTGGAGTGGTAGTGCAGTGGGATTATGTGTGGAGTCGTAGTGCAGTGGGGTTATGTGTGGGGTGGTAGGTTCACAACGTTGTGCTACGTTCCCAGCAACGTGGGTTCGATCCCCGGTCACGGACAACAAGAGTGGCCAAGTAGTCTCCGAACCCATCCTTGGTTTCCCCTTCGTCGAACTAAAACGAATTCCCGGTGCAGTGTGTAAGCAACAGCACCGGTGAGACCGACAAGTGGTGCTGACCACAACACAACAACACCTCCTCTTCACGTGCCGATCCAGCCTTTGCTCGGCACACCTTGCTCCAGCCGCCCGTGCGTCTATACAGGCTACCTTTGCCTTTGTGCGCGACCGCCAGGCGCGGCCAAGTACCGGCACACGCTGCAGAAGATCCGGCCTCGCATCGTCATTGTGGAGGAGGCGGCCGAGGTCCTGGAGGCGCACATCGTGACCACGCTGAGCCCCGGCTGCCAGCACCTGATCCTCATCGGAGACCACCAGCAGGTAGCGGCGTATACACCCGGCCTGGCGGTCATCCTCGCGGCAGCGGCTTTTGTCTGACCGTCGAAACAAAGACGCGGTCACCGGACCGCGCTGCGCTTTAAGATGCGCTTCTGCGGCCGTCCGGAACGCGCTCGTCTTTGCCGATATTAGGAAGCCACTGGAGCTATGCACTTTTAAATCATCATCTAGATTGAAAATACTTTCTTTAGAACTGCTTTTTTGTGTTTAGTTTGTTGTCTTTCACCCGCACCTCCGATTAGCATGGTTGGCTACGTACGGTGCGAAAGAAGTTCAACGCACGTATATGCGCACAGTCACCGCAGCTTCCGTCACTATTACCATCAACAGGTCCATCACTAACACCACTGACACCACCTCCATCACCAGCACCGTCGACACACCCTCCATCACCAACAGCACCACCACCACTCCACCAGTGCCACCACCTCCGTCGACCACCAAGAAGCACCACTCTGACCATCTTCATCACCGACACCACAAACGCCACCTCCATCGCCAATACCCCCACCGACATCAACTCCATCGCCAACACGACAGCAACCAACAAGTACCGTCCACCCACTTCCTCGTTCAAGATCACCATTCCCAAATGTACAATGGTATGGCTTCTTCTAGCGCCGATCCCACGTGGCGCTCACTGCTCCGGGAACGCATCTTGAAGCGCTAAGCGAGGTCTGCCTGTGATCGCACCCTGCTAAGGTTGCTCCGTTGTCGTTGTCCGGTGGCGTGCGTTGTGACGACCGCAGCTGCGTCCGAGTGCCACGGTGTACGAGCTCGCCACGCACTTCCACCTCGAGGTGTCTCTCTTCGAACGCCTCGTGCGCAACGGCCTGCCCTTCGTCAAGCTGCAGTACCAGGTGACACATCGTCATCATCATCATCATCACAATTATCACGACACACTAATAATTAATCATTTGTGTCTGATTAAGCGCCCCTAAAACCACGGCATCTCAGGTCCATTTACGTGCGATAAAAAGTAACAGATTAAAAAAAAACGAATCTTAAGAACAGGCTCTTCCAAAACCATCATCAGCCATGATCTATCCACTGCTGGGTGAAGATCTTCCCAAGCCGTCACAGTCTCTCGCGGTCTCACGATCTGCCTGGCTGCTGCAAGTGCACCGATTGCATTGCTCCGTCTCAGCGGTGCTCATGCTCATGAGCTTGTTCTATTCCCAAGCAGGGAAGAGCAACGTAGTCACACACACAGACACGTACGTAACGAACACACGAGATGGTGAAAGATGATCTTGCATACGCATGGATTCTGTATCGCTTTACCAACTTGCACAGGTCCTCGGAGAAGCATTTAATTCGCAATCGCAACAAGATGACGTCGCGAATTGACGTCACTTGGTGACTTCATCGGCATCATCAGCCGCGTCACGCTGGGCGTGACCTACAGGGGGTTTCCTGCCTTCGGGAGGGCAGGATGTCGGGGTGGCCACCATTTTCCAAGGGGCCACGAGCAATCGACGATGTGAAAAGTTGCCGTAGACAATTCTTTACTCGATTAATCCACGAATCGTCCCAGCTCTGGTAACACCGCAAGCTGAACATCGCACCTCCCCTCCCTCTCCACACCCCCCTTACATCCCCTCCCACATCCCACACCCCCTCCCCTCCCACTTCCCATATCCCACACCCCCCTCCCCTCCCTCCCACATCCCATCCCCCCCTCCCCTCCCTCCCACATCCCCTCCCCTCCCTCCCACATCCCACACCCCCTCCCCTCCGCTCCCTCCCACATCCCACACCCCCTCCCCTCCACTCCCACATCCCCCCCTCGCCTCCCCTCCGCTCCCACACCCCCCCCTCCCCTCCCCTCCCTCCCACATCCCACACCCCCCTCCCCTCCCCTCCGCTCCCTCCCACACCCCCCCCCTCCCCTCCGCTCCCACAGCACCGCATGCGGCCGGAGATCGCGCGGCTCCTGGTGCCGCACATCTACACGGAGCTACGGGACCACCCGTCCGTGCTGGAATACGAGGACATTAAGGTGAGCTCTGTCCTTGCGATTCCTTTCTCCCTCCTCTCCCCCCCCCCCCCACCCACAGGTTTAAAACTCGTCGCATTCGAGTGACATTGGCTTAGCCATCCGATTGGCATCAAAGTGGCACTTTTGTGCCCATGCTCAATCGTAAGATCCGTGTTATAATATTGCCACGTGGGTATTAGAAAATAAATTTGGTAAATACTACAATTAAGGTGGTGGCGCTAGTGCCCGTTGATGTCGATGACGACGACGATGATGGTGGTGCAATTATGGTCATGATGATAATGATAGTGATGGTGATGCGGATGATGTATCTGTACTAGCGCATGCGCATGCGGAGAGTGGTAGTGTCATGGTCAGCACACTTCGCTACGATCCCGGCAACTTGAGTTCAAAATTCCTGGCTGTGGCCAATTTTGGTGGCAAATATCCGAAGTCAACTCGGCCTTCCATGAGTACCCGGTAAAGTGTGTAAACACCAGCATTGGGGAAACGGGAACATCTGGTCGTGACGCTTGCCATGCCACCCCTTGGTCCGTGCGCCGCTCCGGCCTTGACCGGTGCTCGCTATCAGCGCGCAGCGTCCACCGCCCCCACCGCCCCCACCGCCCCCGTCACCAAAGTGGGGAAACGCTTCGTCTCTTGCACCCGCGCAGGGCATGGGCACCAACCTGTACTTCGTGGAGCACTCCGAGCTGGAGGAGGAGGTGGCCGACTCGAGGAGCCGCCACAACCGCCACGAGGCGCGCTTCGTGGTGGCGCTGTGCCGCTACCTCATCCTGCAGGGCTACCGTCCGGCGCAGATCACCGTGCTCACCATGTACGCCGGCCAGCTGCTGGCGCTGCGCCGCATGATGCCGCGCGACCCCTTCCAGGGCGTGCGCGTGTGCGTCGTCGACAAGTACCAGGGCGAGGAGAACGACATCGTGCTGCTGTCGCTCGTGCGCAGCAACGCCGAGGGACGCCCGGGTTTCCTGCGCAACGAGAACCGCGCGTGCGTGGCGCTGTCGCGCGCCAAGCGGGGCCTCTACGTCGTGGGCAACGCCGCGATGCTGGCAGCCACCGTGCCGCTGTGGGCGCGCCTCCTGCGGGCCCTGCGCTCCGAGGGCCGCGCGGGCGAGGGCCTGCTGCTGCGCTGCCAGGCGCACCCGGACCGCGAGGTCGTGGCGGCGCGCGACACCGACTTCCGGCGCGCGCCCGAGGGCGGCTGCACGCTGCCGTGCGAGTTCCGCCTGCAGTGCGGCCACGTGTGCACGCGCGCCTGCCACCCGTACGACCCCGAGCACGTCGAGTTCCTGTGCCTCAAGCCCTGCCAGAAGGTGCTGTGCGCCCTCGGCCACCGCTGCCCCAAGGCCTGCTGGGAGAAGTGCGGCGAGTGCGAGGTGCCGCTCGAGAAGAAGATCCCGCGCTGCGGCCACGCTCAGCGCGTGCCCTGCCACGTGCCGCCGGAGGAGTTTGCGTGCCAGGTGCCCTGCCGCAAGACGCTGCGCTGCGGCCACCGCTGCCGCCGGGCGTGCGGTGTCGCCTGCGAGAGCAAGTGCAAGGAGACGGTGGAGGCCGAGCTGCCGTGCGCCCACCGCAAGGAGGTGGCGTGCCACGCCGACCCGGCCGCCGTCGCGTGCTACGCGCCGTGCCCCGCCGCGCTCGACTGCGGCCACCCGTGCCGCGGCAGCTGCTGCGAGTGCCACGAGCAGCGCTTCCACAAGGAGTGCGCCCAGCCGTGCCAGCGGGCGCTCGTGTGCGGCCACCGCTGCCGCGAGCCCTGCACGCGCGACTGCCCGCCCTGCGCGCTGCCCTGCGAGAACCGCTGCGTGCACAGCCGGTGCCGGCGCCCGTGCGGCGAGACCTGCGCGCCCTGCGTGGAGCCGTGCGAGTGGCGCTGCCCGCACCGCGCCTGCGGCCGCCTGTGCCACGAGCCGTGCGACCGGGGGCCGTGCGACCGCCCCTGCGAGCTGCCGCTGCGCTGCGGCCACCCCTGCGCGGGCCTCTGCGGCGAGCCGTGCCCCGACAAGTGCCGCGTGTGCGACGTCCGCCGAGCTCGCCGAGATCTTCTTTGGCAGCGAGGACGAGCCCTCGGCCCGCTTCGTGCAGCTCGAGGACTGCAAGCACGTGCTCGAGGCGTCCGGCCTGGACCGCTGGATGTCCCAGGACGAGGAGGGCAAGGAGGGCGACGCGACGTCCATCCGGCTCAAGGTCTGCCCCAAGTGCCGCACGCCCATCCGGCGGAACCTGCGCTACGGCAACGTCGTCAAGAAGACGCTGCGCGACATCGAGGAGGTGAAGAGGAGGATGCGCGGCGGCGACAAGTCGGCCACGCGCGGCCAGATCGTCCTCCTGCAGGACAAGTTCAGGAGGAACCACAGCATGATCCTGTACTACTACAAGGAGACCAACAAGCTGCAGGAGATGCTGGACGGCAACGACGCCTCGCCGTCGCGGCTGCACACGCTCGAGAACGTCATCGTCATGTTCCAGAAGGTGACCGAGCTGAAGCTGCAGCTGGAGACGCACAGCGTGGCCGGCGCCGAGCGGAGCCGACGGGTGGACGGGCGGCTCAAGGAGTTCCTCGGGTGGCTCGTGCAGCCGCGCAGCCGCCTGGGCGAGCAGGAGCTCCGCGACCTGCAGACGGAGCTGCTGCGGCTCACGATGCTCGCAGAGCTGTGGTGCCGCTACCAGCGCGTGGCCGCGGCCGGCGCCGGCGGCGGCGGCGGCATCGTCGTCGCGGGGACCCTGGCGGACGCCCAGGACGCGCTGCGGCTGCTGGAGGCGCGCGGGAGGTTCTCGGCCGAGCGGGAGGCGGCCGTCAAGGCGCTCATGGCCAGGGTGCGCCAGCGGCTGCCGCTGTCGGGGCTCGGCGTGTCGGAGGGCGAGCGCGTGGACATCGTCAAGGCCATGGGATTGGCTCAGGTTGGTTCGATCGGCCGTGGGCCGTCCACCGCCGGATGGCCTCCCCAAATCACCGCCGTCGCTCACGATCCTGCGATGTATTCATCCAGCTACGAGCCGCACGCAGATATATATCTTCATTACCTGCCACTCTTTATCATTGCTGACCAGTGGCCGTTGTTTGAGAATACTGCGGTGCTGGCGCCAACCTGTAATCCGGCACTGTGGAGGTGAGGGTTGGTGTCTCTCACAAAAGTTGTGAAAGTCCTTTCTCGAGGTGCAGTATACCCCAGCTTGCCAAGAGAAGGCAGCACGAAACCTGTGCACTAATCTCCCTGTTCCATCTGTACGGGATAAACTGCTGCCCCCTCGCATGCGTAATTGATTACGCCGGCTTCCTACCACACGTATGGACACTCATTGACTGGAAGAAAACATCTTAATATGTGGAGGACTGCAGAGCTTGGGTAATTGTTGACCGCCGTCCCGCTAGTCTATGGCTCCTCACACCTCTGCGCGTGCGTGTGATGCGTTGCGAGGTGAAATTTGCATGAATACCGCGACGTGAACTGTAAACCAAACGAAACATTGCGAGCGAATATTGTGGACAAACGTTTAAAAATGGGTCACGTGTGTCATGCATTCTTATGACCAATTCATCGGCATGCATCCAATCTTGTCAGATCTCAGAAGCCAAGTCAGTGTGGGGCTGGGAAGTGCTTGGATGGGCGACCACTGTGCCTAAAACAAAAGGTGTTGCAGGCTGCTGTGCAGATATGTTTGTTAGCCGGGAGCAATGCAGCAATATCCGTTGCTGTACTGTACTATACGCCAACGTCTATGCCCCCCCCCCCCCCGCCTTCACCAACCCACAGTGACCAACACGGTGAAGTGTGCTCGCCAGATGTCCCTCTAGTGGAGGGCCTCGACGAAATTCGGCTCAGGAGAGCCCTCTACAGAGTGTAACTTGGCCTACTCTTTCGCACCGATCAGACGCCTTGGCAGAGATTGGGAGCACCAACATCAACTGTTGCGTCCATTTATTCTGCCGGGCGGACGGAGGGGGGGGGAGAGATTTAGGAACTTGCACTACCGTTTCAACCGCCACACCCCGGGGGGAGATTCAAACCGAGCCGACGATCTCCGGATGGCGAGTCCCGTGTGCGAACCCGCCATTTTCACCTACGGGAACCCCAATGCACCTTAAAAAAACACACATACACACGCACGAAAAGAGCTCGCTCGGTCAGCTACCCCGCCGATCGACTAACTACCGAGCGCTCTCTCTCCACTCCCCCCCCACCCACCCCAACGACACCACCACCACCACCACCAGGGCCACTGGTTCAAGTGCTCGCGGGGCCACGTGTACGCCATCGGGGAGTGCGGCGGCGCCATGGAGCGAGCGCACTGCCCCGAGTGCGGCGACGTCATCGGCGGCGTCAACCACCTGCTGGAGCGGGGCAACGCCCTCGCCTCCGAGATGGACGGCGCCCGCCACGCCGCCTGGTCCGACACCGCCAACGACATGATGAACTACCGCGACCTGCTGCGCCTGCAGTTCCAGTGATGCACCGGCGGGAGTGGTGGCGGGGTGGGGGGGGGGGGAGAGTTGGGGGGCGGAAGGGAGGGAGAGAAGGACGAGCGGAGAGCGGAGGTCATGAGGTCATGGGGGCGAAGGGCATAGAAGAGAATTGGGGCGAAAGGATAAGTTGGCCAATGAAGAGATAGTGAAGTATACACCAGCGCCAAGGAGCCAACGCGTGCTAAGACGGGCGCGGCTTATCCGTATCGAGAGCTTTCTCCCCCCAGTGTGACGCTGCACCAAACACTCGTCTTCAGGCCAGGCGGATGCGAGGGAAGGCAGAAGTCATGGGGTTCAGGGCAATGGGCGCAGGGTGTGGGCTCGAGGGGCATAGACACTCCCGCAACGTTTGGTGCTCAGTCTTGGTTCTTAAATGTTATTATCTGTTATTTGTCATTTTTATACAATGCAAAAAAATAATCCTACACATATGAACTTAATAACAATAAAATACTTGCGAGCGACAATTTAATATGGGGAAGTCACCGATAGCCATGTTTTCATGAAATCAAACGTTATTTCCGTAGGCGGGAGGGAATTTTCATCTTTTCGTTTTTAGATGGTTTATTGGTATAGATTTATTTTTCAGGGTTGTGAGAGCACGGTTAAAGTTTATTCATCCGTATTTATTCAGGATGGCGGTGCAACCAGCAGAGATCGACTACGTAGTGGCGCGCGAATTAAGACTTTTACACTGGTGACAAACCAAAAGAAACACAACAAAATAAAATGCGAAAAGCATCAAAGGACCTTTTACATGTCAGTCACAGTGCTGGATTCACCGTTGAGCAGCGGCGACATTGGTGAGTGGTATTTTTCTCTTGGCAAGACAGACCCCCCCCCATCCCATGAGAAATAGTGCAGTCCATTCCTTTGTGTACAAGATCCACAGGTGCAGCTGCGTTGTGGAGTCTGCCAACGCTTACCGGGGGAGGGGTGACGGTGGGGAATTTCACCTCTTGCAGATCGATGACCTCATGGCCTGTACGAATCCTGGGGTGAGGTCAGGTTGACATTTGACCATATTTCTTAATGCTAACAATGTCTGCTATTTGTTTTCTTTGAACTACATTTACCCCTAATATCCTTTACAAAACAAACCAATTACTTCCAAGTCCTTTGGCTAAATAAAAGGACGTCTTATGTATGCTGTGAGCTGGATCTCATTTTACAAGCACTGATTTTCAACAGGGCCCCAAAGAAAACAAAAGTAAAAACTGGGTCTTCTCATGCACAGCTTTTTAAATTCCTTTGAAATCCTGCCAGGGATCTTTATGATAATCCCGAATGACTTTTTACAGCGCAACTTGCTTCCGGGAACACGCATTTTTTAATCCAACCGTCGCTATATCACGGCGACGGACACTTAACGCGAAACTGGAGCCGCAAACCCCCTTGCCCTACGTTGCGTCCTCACCCTCCCCGCCCTCCAACCTCCTGCCCACGACAGCAGTCCTCTTCCTCGCCCGTAAACGACTCCCCCCCCCCCCTCCAACCCGCTCTCTCCCTCCGCTTCCCACTCTCGCTGCTCACCCCGCAGTTGAAAGGGCAACCCCACATCATTCGCGCACCCAGGGCGTACCCGCCACCTGGGATACTACTGACAGGGTCTGAACACACAGGGACATCACTCGCCAGCGCACTGACACGGGCCGGTAAAACGTTTCAACGCTTCGCGGTGCACTTTCGCACGCGTTTATCCAGGGGTGGCCAAACCGCGTGGATCCCATGAAGTTCCGAGTGCAGGTCGGCCAAGTAATTGTCAACTCTTCCGACGGGAAGAAATCTGCGAAAACGAGGGCACTGGGGCCAGACGTGAATACTCACTGGGGGGGGGGGGGGCGCTTCCGCAGATTTCTAAACTCAAATGTCCACAGCGTCCGTCCGACCACCGCGGCCCCCGAATGAGGATGTTGCCGTGGCGGCTCACAGGGTCATGAATCTGGATTGAAAAGTCACATTTTTTTTTTTAGAACTGCTTCTTTGTGTTTAGTTTGTTGTCCTTCCACCGCACCTCCGATGAGCCACGGTTGGCTACGTGCAAACATACATACATGCATGTAGTTTGGCCACCCCTGTTATGGTGTTTTTTTGAGCAATATTCACTCGTTTGAAAACTATCCTGCATACTTGCCCTACGTTATCATTTTCATTATTGTTTTGATGATTGCAGGGAAAGCGAAGGGAACGATCATTAAGATAATAATGATAATGAACACATTCACATACAGTGTATGTTCCCTGTCCTCGACACTTTTACCTAAGTCTATCGACGGCTTTGTCATACAGAGGAATCCCTACCCCAGCACAATTATATTATAGGAATGCATATATATTATAAATGGAAACTCAATGGGTGCTTATTAAAATAAAGGAGAGCTAGAATATGATTATTATTCTTAATCACTGGAGGGGGGCTACTAACGATGCTCACGAAATGTTACACTGGAGTGTGCAGCATTGAACTGCAGGCTCTGAAAACGTTGGCACATTGGCAAGGGAGACACGCGAGCTGTAGAGGCAACGTGAACACACCGTTCACTCCGGATTATAAGACGCACTTCTTTTCCCCTGTATTTGAAAGAAAAAAGCTGGCGAGTGCATCTTACAAACCGGAAGTGCGTGCGTGCGTGCGTGTGACGAGGTTCGTGTAACCTTGTTGACACCGGGCACAGTTTTGGGATGCGTTGTGCTTTCCCGGAGCGTCTTACGATCCGGAGTATACGGGAAGGATGATCATTGTGAAGACGATCACGGCGGGTCAAGGCGTTTAAGAGACTGAATTGGTGGTGGATCACAAGCACAAATACAAAAAGTGTCACCATGTTCAACGACATTACCCGATAACATTAAATACACACGTCTGACTGGATGGTCACCGCAGAGGTGGAGTGATAAAATCAGCCCATGCACAGATGCTCTCGATGGCTGGCTGCATCGCAGGACCGCGAGAGATGGCGAAAGCTTTGGCACGCATCCATCGAGACGTAGATTTATCGTGGCTTACGGTGACGATAGCAAACCATTGTTTGAAGCAATGGCCCCTTCCTTCGGAACAGAAGAGCAGAAATATGAACCGAGCTATATTTTAAAATTACTTTACACTGCGGTTCCCCGAAGTTGGCTATCACAGTGTGGAATCGACACGTACGAATGTGGTGACTTTTTTGTTGTTGTACCTTATCTGGCCACGACAACCTAGTTGTGTGAAAGCACAACAACGCAGCGTTGTTTGATCCTCACCAAATAACGATCTCCAACCGACGCCGTAAAACTTGTCTTTCGGGGGTCAGCGCGAGCGTTCACCGACAATGCCGCAGCTCCACAATGCCATGTTTTATTTCTCAAGAACGATCCTGGTTGTTTTCGCTCGCTAAAATGTGCTTTTGTATTTTCAGAATTGTGGTGGGTGTTTTTTTTCCAATGCTTCGTGGGCTCAACCAACAACGCCCGATAGGATGATCTAAAAAGTATATAAGTATCTAATTATGCTCTCCGGCAAGTGTGCAACCAATTTAGGTTACACGTTACCTCTCGGCCCCGCGCTTTGCCTGTGCCCGCTGGCCACGCGTCGAACCTGCAGAAGCGCGCACCGAGGCCGGCGGCGTTGGTGCAACCCCCCAAAAAACCAACGCCGTCTGCTACCGCGCCCTAAAATCCGGCTCCCCACTTGAAACTTCGATTCATCGTAGAAACCTTCGCAGTGCGTCGCAGAGCCTCCTCGAAACTCCCAGGACAAGGACCGTCATGGCTTCTCGGCGTTTCTCAGTGTCCCTCCCGTCATCTGGAATGCCACCCCCCCCCCCCCCCCGATTTACATCCCCTAACGATCAATCGTTTTCTTCGTTCAAAAACCATCTAAAGGCGCGTGTCTTTGGCTCGACAATTAACCACCGAGTCTCCCTGGAACCGCTCCTCCGAATAGCATCTTCGGGTCCGCAACATTGCGCGCGTTATAAATTGATTCATTATTATTAAAGGACAAAAAAACCCGAGGCGTTACGAATCAGACAAGTGATGCACAAGCCACGGGAGAGAGAGAAAACAAATCGTACGTGAATTCGTGAGCACTTGAGAGCATAATTAAATATCCTGTTGGTCACAGTATGTGGGAGACGTGCGTCTCGCAAGTCAAACCGCAAGGTGTTGTCGTGAACTACTGATCCGCATGCTCTGCACAGGGCAGGGTGTACAGTGGCGTAGCTATCGAGTGTGCAGGCGCTGCAACTGCACCAGGGCCCAACGGCCAAGGAGGCCCAAGTGCAGGGTTTTGCGAAGACGGACACGAGGATGCCCCCATGCATGTTATTCCTTGCTCCAGTGCCCATGCCAACACGCTACGCCACTGGCAACGCGTGATTAATGATGGTGGTCGAGCGAGGTGAAATGTATTCGGAGAGCTTTCGTTCGGACGTGGCTTTGAACCTCCAGTCCCTTGGGACCACCGCAAGTACATTTATCCGGCCGTCGTACCAGTCGATGTCGCCCGTGGTTAAGTAGCGCCTGCCCGGCCGCTTGTTGAAAGCAAGAAGATTCGAAAGCACGATTCGAAAGCACGATTTGGCTGCTCGGAGGCGCTGGCTCGGTCACGTCGGGGTCCCATGGTACTGGAGACCGGGGAGGAGGAGGGGGAGAGGGACCTTTTTCAGAGTCTCGGTGAAATGCGTCGTCGTTTAGAACCTCCGCATGCGGGAACGTACCGAGAGCACATTCCTTCATGCCACACACACACACACCCACCCTTTGTGTTTCTCGTGGAAGTTATATTTAGAGCTATTCCTTAAAATTACGTGCCATTTTAAACAAAATTATACTTCACAAAGTAGAGAAAAAAAATATATATAGACAAATTATATGTTTGTGTAGCATTAGTCGCAAACTAAATGCCTCTGATAATTAAGCCATAGAGTTTTTTTGGTGCTTGGTAGAATTCCTTGCGTTCGTCATTTATGGCCAAAACGAGGCCTCAGCGGCAGCTCTCTGGCCGGGTTTACAGTGTCAGCGCAGGGTGGCTCACGGCTTTGCGTTCGCGACGCGAGGACGGAGCATGGCCCTACC